GGGAAGGGGCGTCGCCTGCCTGCAGGCGGGGGCTGCACTGCCCCAGTCTCCAGGACAAGGGGGTCGGTCGTCCCGTCAAGCTGAGGATGCTGCGGCCGCTGATCTCGGTGGTGACGCTGGTGTCGAACGTGGTTTCCAACGTGCTTTGAGAGACAGAAATGCATTTGGTGAGTCCTGGCTGGCTAGACCAGCGTCTCCAGGCTGCAGGAGCCTCCACCTGGACACTTGCCAAGTTACAAGTGCCACTACTAACAGAATTCACCTGCTGCAATACCTTGAAAGAGTTGGGTCTGTTCCTCCAACACTGTTCACTAAATAACAATACCCTTGTTCCCAGGTCAACAAGTATTCAACAAGGAGTTATAGGTTCAAACTTGAAGAGGGGAGATATAGGTTAGACAATGGGAGGAAATTTTTCACTGTGAGACACTGGAACAGGTTGCCCAGGGAAGTTGTGGAAGCCTTATCTCTGGAAGTGTTCAAGGCCAGGGCTTGGAGCAACCTTGTCTAATGGGAGGTGTCCCTGGTCATGCAAGGTTTGATCTAGATGATCTTTGAGGTCCCTTCCAACCCTAGCCATTCTATGGTTCTATGATATACATGAGAAGACCAAAGCAGGAACTTGTTAATAGATTATCCACAGTATCAAAGCATAACTTTTACATCTTCAACCATATACAACTCTCTTATAGCACGGTTTTGCCGCTGTAGGCAGGGAGTAGGATATTAAGCTGACTAAAGGAAAACCAACTTAAATACTATTTTCCTGATACATTTTCTCTCTTTGGCTGCGTTCATCAGAGTCCTAATACTCTGGAGGTGTGTTCAGCACCAAGATGGCAACTATTTCTACACTGAAGAAAGGATTGAATTAAAAAATAGGAAGAAAGGCAAAACAAATTTACTTTTCAAAATCTCTTTTAGATATTCATGAATCAAATCTATTTTTCAAAGTATTGATAAAATTTTTACAGAGCTCTGGTTACAAAATCATTTTAGGTCACAGCCTGTAAATACAGGTTTGACAAGTGTCAGCTACATTAAATCTTCCATTCTCTGTGTCCAAGTGTGTGAACACACTGCATCCCTGGATGGGTAATGCTAGAGTGCTGAGAATGCTGCCTCTGCTTATCTTGGTAGTGACACTGGAGTCAAAAGTAGCTTCCAATGTGCTTAAAGAAATAAAAGCATTTGATTAAATGTAAACTGCTATATGGAACCTTAAAAATGGGCTGCTACACTGTGAGATTGCAGGTGATGGGTACAGACTGCAAGACTCTCAACACTCACAGCTTAGTTGCAGTTAATTTACTTGAAGATAATCCATAGCTGCAACTTCTTTTACGCACATGAACCTCCCATTTCCTTTCCTGCTCAACTGACCTGGAGTTATTTCTCTTTTTGTATTGTGGATATTTGTTAAAATAAGCAACATTGTACTATTTGCAAAACAACATTATGTACAGGCTGCAAAAAAACTATGTATCCTCCAGATAGAGTAACTGTATCATAATAAGCTGCCACATTAATACAAATTTGAAAAGAAAATCAGCATTTGTAGTTCATCTTTGCAAGCTCTGCCTCAGTTTTAGATACAAAGCCAAACCACAATGTGTTCCCCCAATGAGCTCAGTTAGGGCTGGAATCCACAAGGCCATGAGCACTAAGTAGAACCTCGATCTCATCAGGGGCCAAACAGCTTATCCTCCCAAGCCTCCTGTTCCACACTGAAAAGATCTGAGTCACAGAATGTTTAAGTGTAATAGCAGCCTTTGTTTATTCAGAGAATATTTTAAGTATCGTTGAAGATTTCCAAATGCTGCTTTACATAGTAAAAGCAGTTACATACACAGATGACTAATAATATTAGAAAAACTTGTTGGTTCAAAGATTGGTCAGGAATTCAAGTTATGCACTTGATAAAGTGGGTCAAGTACAGTTCACCTGCTTATTTAAACACCATATTACACTTAAGGCAAGGGGTGTAGTGGACTGAGGATATTCAAGGGTATGAAGAAACATTTTTAAGTGTAACCTATATTTAAACACCACCTAACAAATTTAAGAAGCACCTTCACCTTTTACTCTAATGTAAATATATATTTACTCTAAATATAATCAATCTATACACCATCAATTACTTACACATTTTAATAAACACTGAACATTATTCAGAATCTGTGCTTGAAAGGGAAAAAGCACAAGATCAGTATCTTCCACTGACAGTGGTTTTAATTTTTTAAGAATGCAATAAGATGACAATTAGGAGCACAATTATTTCCATTTTCTTACCAAAAAGCCAGGCATTACCTGTGAGTGACCTGGGTTCCCCGTAAGCTGGACATGGTTTCCTCTAAGTTCTGCCGGAGATCAGCGATGTTTTTCACAGTCCGTAACCGCCGAGTTTCCGGATCTTCTCCTACAGGGAAAATACACCATGAGAAAGGAGAAGGCAGGAAATCTTACAGCACTGAGCTGTTACCTCTGTCCGAACCTGACTCAAAGATATTTTTTCCTGACTTTTTCTTATTTAGAACTTTAAACTGATAAAGATGCAGATACGATCCCCCCACAGCAGGCACCTGCCATCGCCACAGCAGACTGAGAACGAGCTCTGTATCATTCACTTCATTTTACAGCCTTTGCACCACATCTTTCTGCATGGTCATTTCCCCATATGACCCAATTTAAACTCTGGTTAACTTTCAGCCTCATTAGAAAATATGCTCTATCAATACAACCCTTTCCATCTCATCTGTTGACACAATTAGCACTAACTCAACAGTCAGTTTCTCCACCTCTGAATTTTCACGAGATCTTCTTTTCCTCTTTTAAATAGATCTCACTCTACAACACCTTTCCAATAACACAAATTGTGCTGACCGGGTGACGAGTGTTTTAGGTAAAATAGCAAAACTTTGCTCATCCCACAGCACTACTCAGTTATCATTTCTTCAACGTGCTGTTGGGGTGTGACTTTTACTTTCCCTGGCATTGAGAAATTCTCTTCTTTAAATACTCTGCTGTAAAATATGTTTATGTTCCTTAACTCTAAAAGTAGACTTCATATACATTCAAGAAGTCCTCCTACTGCTTCAGCATAATTTATTTCTATCAAATTAATAATTTAATTAGTGCCTCCGCATAATTGATTTACTTGCTCTCAGCTGTCAATTAAGAAATACTTTGGTTGCAAATCCAGCTGAGCTTTATATAGTTAAAACTCCTAAGAGGTTGAAGAGAAGTGACCTTCTAGTAATGCCAACATATTATTTGTACATCAAATGCTGAAACAGAAAGCCTCCAAAAAGCTGTCACAAACCTTCTGTTAGGCACAGAAGGAAATAGTTTCTTTCTAGAGGATTTATAACGTGAATGATGGAGATACTACAGAATGTTTAAAAATTTTCAAATTTTGTATCTGCCTTCTCTGCTCAAGTGAAGCTGTCAGGATGATGGTCACCCATTGGCTAGCTCAGGTGGCTCTCCATAGAATACATAAATCACAAGTGTTATGGAGCAGATAAATAAGCTGTTGCTGGAACTTCCCACATTCTTTGCTTTAAACCTCATGTTTCTGAAAGCTGCCAGGTTGGTGGCACAGAAGCACCAAGTCACACACTCTTGCCTGGAAAGCAGCAGTAGCACAACTTGCTGGAGCCCCGACTAGGGGGAACGGTCTCAGGAGGGAAAGACAGATCCTAATGCTTACAGGACCGTTAGCCTTTCTGAGACACACAACAATGGTTCTGTTAGTGGCCACTTGAGCCACTTTTATTTTAAATGGGTCTCTACTCCCAGGAGAAGAATCTCCCGAAGATACAATACACTTAGGCCAAATGCTCAAAACAATTATCATCTGGCTGGATTTGAAACAGGCACCTAACAAGGCCAATTCCTTGAGCCAGCGGGTCTCTGGGACAGAAAACATTTTCTACATTCACAGATCTACAATTTTTTGCAGTAAAGCACATAAAATATTTACAGCCCTTTAGTCTAACAAAGATCGCAATGCTCTTTTCCAGATCATTTGTCTGATAGCTATGAAGGCAAAGAGCAGATAACTTCTTAAGAAAACATACATGATACAAGATAACCCAGTTCCTATCGAGGTCACTCTTACGCCTAAACTGATACAAAGTGTTTCCTTAAATGACATTCAATTGCCTAAATTACATGTATACTTAAAAGACAGTGCCACTGGAACATAATTATTAAAGCACTTCGCTCTTCATGAACAGGCAGTACCATGAAACTATTAAGCTTCCAGCTCTCCCTACCTATACTGTCTTCTGGTTTTTGTGTGGTTTTAAATTAAAAGCATCAATAGCTGCTATGTAGGGAGAGAATAAATCTGTCCTTTATTTCTTCTGATTTATCTGGGTTGAGGGACCATTTTGTTGTGTTTAATCCTTTTCCCGTAGGACCTCTTTATGTACTGCTGCTCTCTGTGGGGTTTGGCTGCACACAGCTGGGTTTTGCATCTCTTATGTTGGAGGTTGTCAGCTGTCTTCCATTTTTGGATCCCCAAACTTACATATTCTGCTTGAATAATAGTTTGTATTTACATAACATCTGTCATTATAGACCTTTTGCGATCTACAAACATGCTTCAGTTTACAGCCTGAAATACATCTAGGATAGGAGACAGGACGATTAAGGGGTAACAATGAGAAGGTTTAAGCAGCTGGACACTTCGTGTTTCTTACTTTGATCTGGTTCTCCCATTTAAATATGAACAAGTTTCTACCTCTTGTGCCATTTATTTGCCTTTAAAATATTTAATCCATCTATATATAAAACATACAGACAGATAGGCTCATTTATACATTCCTGCATCCCTGTTCCTCACCAATGACTCTGCCTCTTGCTTTTGCCATCAGCATACGTGCACATAGGTATAAATGCAGCATTGACAGAATATGTAATGCAGTATGAAACTAATCCAGTTGTGAAATTTTTAGCCACATGATTTTTCCAAGCAGGACAATCACTTTCAGAACTCACATTAAACTGGAGGACACCATGACCAAGTCGATTAAAAAAACCTGAAATATTCTACTGATGAGATATACTGCAATAGTTTGCAATAAGCAGTCATACACATTACTGAAACTGGAACAGGAGGAAACCTGACTGGGACTTTAGAAACACATTAAGAACTTCAGTAAAATATGGTTGCTAAAAATTATTTTGTTATACTGATAAGCTTCAAATTTATTGCTAAGTCTTATATACTTCTTATAGTAGCAGGAGACTGCTTCTAATTGCAATCAGTTTCAGCTTGTGTATGCTGGACACAGTGAACTGTAGCTGGATCTTGGTCTCCTATTGCTGCAAAGATCACTTCTCAAACTAATCAGACGCATGTGAGTGAATACTGAAATTCCTCCAAACTCACACATGAGTTTATACATGAACCAAAACATCAAGGAAATCAATTCTCTTCTGTAAGTGGTGAAGCAAAGTTTTAAAAAGTAAAAAAATAAGTATCAAATGTTTGGGAATACTTAGGATCCTTACAATAGCTTAATCCTAAAATCTGCTGCACATCTCCTAGAAAAACTTAAGTACCCAGAATTCCTCATTTGGGGGGCACACCAGTGTGCAGACCTCGAGTGCCTAGTATATCAGACTATTGACATCCAGATTCCATTGCAGAAGAGCTGAAAGAAAACAAAGCTTTAGGAATAAAACCAAATTAAATCTCTCCCTGACTTTAAACTTGCTTTATCCCATTCTTAACCAGACCACAGTCAGCAGGTGATATTCCAAGACATACCTGAGAGGTCTTCGAGAGCAGGCTGTCCAGTTTTGACGTACAGAGCAGAGTCCATGCTGACCCCTCCTGTGCTGGCCTCGGCTGTTACGTTCCCTTCATTGTCTGTCTGTGATCTGGAAGGCAAAACAAAACAGAGATGTGCAGTCACCCTCCATCAAAGGTACCTCACACAGAACAGCTAGGCAACTGCACCCTCCCTCAGGCCCTCTCTCCAGAACAGACCAGCAGACTGATTTTACATAATTCATTAATCCCATGTTGAATTATGTCCTAGAAATGGAAACAAGCACTCAGCTGTAAAAAATAAAAAATTCAAAGATTGGCGTTGTGGCTCTTCAGACAGGGTGTCAAGACACTTGGATTTCCAGCTAATTTTAATGATCAATAACATCAGTTGACGTGGCTAATCTGATCCTCTCTAATAAAGTCTGTATTGCATGAATACAAAGCAGGTGGTAGGAGATGGCATGTCACACTCCTGTTCATTTCCCTTCAATAACTAGCCATGTCACTCATTTGTATTCTAAATTAAATGTCAGGGTGAAACCAACTTCAAAGTCTAATTTATCATCTGACATCGTGGTTGTCAGGTAATGAAAGGTGATGTCATAAGAACCTACTGTCAGATTTGAGTAATATATCTTGACTCATTTCATTTTATTGGTTGCAGCGTGTTTTGCTGATGGAGCCACATTAGTGAGCTGCTGGAAATTCTGCTCAAAGGGTAAGTGCTGTACAAAACTGAAGACACAGCAAGGAATTACTACTGCAATATTCTTAATTTCAGTTGACCCTACATGAAATGTAGAACTCATATTGTTTACTTTGTTTCTCGTGTTTACTGTTTCTCATGTTTTTTACTTTGAAAAAACAAAACAAATAGTCTACAGCTGAAAAGTTCAGATTAATGTAGCCTTACCTAATAGCAGAAAAAAACCCTGAAACTTCTACTGCAATGCATTAACAAGTGCATTTTGCAGATTTGAAAAAGTGGCTGGATAGTATATTTACAATAATGCTGTATGTTTGCCTCAAAAATCAATAGAATTTGACTTTTCTCTTTCCTTTTAAAGCAGTAAGATTATCCAGTTCAGGTTTTTCTCCTCTAACGCTGAAAAGTAAAGACTGTTTTTTTCAATTTCTCAGCATTTTCTCCAGCTGCTAATAGGTAGTTTCACTACTGTTTTTTTTTAAAAAGTAAAATAAATACTGCCTAGGGTTTATCAGTACGTTTGGATTACAGGAAACATAGGGATTGCATCTGCTTTTACACTTTAGATGATGATACCTATGTTCAAACTAAGAGGAACACCAGGTACACAGCTTTTTACTTTATCTTTTGATAGGTCATTGTAGTGATAAACTTAGCATCCCAAAGCATTACAAACACATTTTTGCACATTATGAGGGATAAGTGATAAAGCAATCAGTTTACAATCACAATTTACTACTAAATTAAGGATTTAAATTGTACTGACAGTTTTTAACTCAAATCTCAAAAAAAGTCTATTAGGAGATCTCACCTTCAGGCAAAGATGCAACAATGAAGCTGATGCATGAAGATGAATGTGAGAGCAGGAGAAATCGAGAACAGGTACTAACTAATGCAAGTTCTAGTCAGGTTCATTTCTCCCAACTGTTTCATTTTCATGTGACTGCATTTCAGAAGGAGACCTGGCATTTTATTCCATGCACACAGGGAGAACACTCGAAGGGTCACAAGACTCTAGGGCTGCTCTTCCTATTTGGCATTCCTACACAGGTCTTGAGGCATCCTTCTTCTTCAGGTTAACTCCACTTACATTCACTTTTATTTAAAAAATGTGTCCAACCATTTCTTATGCTACGTTGGCCAAGAGATCAAAGGCAAAAATGTGTATAGTAGAACTGAAACATGATGGGAGAGGGCAACAAAGATGACCAAAGGGTATGAACAGCATCTCTACAAGTGAAAATGAAACAGGCTAGGACATATGACAGAGGGCTCTCAAGTCATGAGCAGCAAGAAGATGATGCAGACAGATCAACTACTTGCATTACTATCTTCCTATTGATCTTCTTGTTAAAGAATTAAACAGTGTCAATGGAAATTAGGAGATGGCTGTCAAAACTAAAAATCCCACCATCTGACTCAGGTTATGGTCAGGCTGATCAGCATGCCTTTAGGAAGTTTGTTATTGATTGCCCTCCTACTACTCTTCCTGATGTATCCTCTACTGCCATTGTCAAACAGAAGATGCTGGACTAGATGGAGGTCAGTTGTGACTCCATAAGGCTGCTCTTATGCTTATCTAATTGAGGGTTAATGAACAGAACAGCAGAGTTTGTGCCTGGCCTTACCTATATTAAGGGATTTTTATTTTTAATTTGTTTGTTGTTTTTTTTTAAGATTCCCATTATTGCTTATACTGATACAAACACTCCACCACTAGTAACCACACTGAAGAGAAGGGCTGTATCTATGTCACAAACCGGTGTTGCTACAACTTTTGAAGCTCTGATGCATCCATCAAATCTAATCCACATGGTACAAGGAAAAGGCAAGAGCAGTGCCTGCTCAAGAAGGTGCTAGCATTCTCATTTTAACTATTAGTAGGGTTGGATACAACAATTATTCATCCTTCTGCCTATCACAACAACTTATATATCTAAGTCTGATGGCCTGCACCAACAGTTTCTGTGTAAATATATAAATTGCCTCATCTCTTAAAGAAACTCTTCAATGATGTGGCACTCAACTTGCTGCCACAACCCTCCCCGAAAGAGTGTCCAGAATGAACCTCCCTATATGTGTGTCATGTTCAAAAGAGCCCACTGAAGAAGTTGACCATACCTGTACATGAAGGGAGCTACGGTGGCAGTGTTGGGGTGGCTGTATTGCTGCTGGGGATGAGGTAGCTGGACACTCACAGTGTTGCTCCCTGTGGTGTGCGTTGTGGTGGCGGGTCCATTGACAGCTTGGCTGCTGCTGCTGCTGTGGAGGCCTCCTACTCCTTTTCCTTCTGAGGAGGCAAGGCTGGATGAGGAGCTGGAATGCCTGCTGTCCAGCTGAGACTTCTGATGAGAGAGCCCCGAGCCAGCTTTCCCGCTGCGGCTTCTCTCGCCTTCCTTTGCAGGAACGGGGGCACTTGAGGATTTCCCTGTGGTGTTTTTCATTCCTGGTTTTGGTATTCCACTGTGCGAAGGGGCAGAGGCCTCCTTCTTGGCACTATTCAGCTTTCCTCCTTTTGGGATAAAGCTTGTGATCTTGGAGGACTTTTTTGGCATCTCTGTTGTTGCTAGTGCTGTCTGTTCTTCTTTTGGTTCCTCTTTCAGGTCCAGCTTTTCGGTGACAGATGTTCTCTTTGCAACATCTTTGCTCTTATCCTTTTCTTTCTCTTTCTGTTTATCCTTCTCATTGCCCTTTGGAGAACTTTTCTTAGTAGTTAGAGCCCGGCTAAAAGTCCTTTGTGCAATTCCCTTGAGTGCAATTTTGGGACTACTGGACATGGATCCCGGATTGTTCACATTCTGATTTGTGCCATCAATTTCTTCGCTTTCCTCAAGGCTGAGGAGGGTTTCCAGCTTTTCACAACTGTTTTCTCGAGACTCCGGACACTCGAGGGTTGTCCCTCCTGCTTTGGATCCTCCTTTGCTATTGAAGAGCTTTAGTTTTTCAAGCATGGATTTTTGACTGTTAGGAGTTACTTTGGAGATGTCCGAGGGTGGCTTTGGAGGCTCCGGTACCGGCTGCTTCATGGATAACATGGAAGACGTGGCTGTGTGCTTAACACTGAGGGACTTGCTGCGCCAAGGTTTAATAGCAGAGCTGGGCTGAGGGATGGCTGATGAGTTATTGCAACTAACAGTGCTGCTGCAGCTTTGAACTGAGGATGAGACATTTTCATTCATTCCTGTGGGCTGGGAGGCTGTACTGTCTGCAGGCTCTGGAAAAAAAACCAAACAGACAAAAAACAATCTAAAAACCCAACACAGTAGTACCTGATACTATAGCCAGTCTGAGATTCTTTCTATAATGAAACATTAGAAACTTCACATTATAAACCTTAGAAAGTCAGGCACATATTACTATTTTCAACAGCAATATCACTTCAAGAAAATAAAAGCCAGTTTTCCTTTCCTACCCAGTAGAACAGCAATGAACTCCTACTATGTGATTTACATTTACTCGTTGTTTCAAGAAAAGAAAAAGAAAAATCACCTCCTCCAATTCAAACCAAAATGTGTTTTGCCATGTGCTCTCCCTTATTAAGTTCATAATACTTCTTCCTTAGCAAAAAAATAGAACTATTTTCTAACTAAGGGTTCCCTCTGCTTTTGGCAAAATATTTGCTGTCCAAGTTTGATTCTTAGAAAAACCTCAAACACACAAAAAATGCAGGAGCAAGGAAAAAATTAAAGCCGAAGTCCTTTCAGTTACTGGGGGAAGATGTTGAAATTGTCATATGCAACACATGGGAGAAAACTCCATGTTCAAAAATAAAACCAAGTGTGTCCTTATGCAATGAACCTAAATTAAATATTACCACAGATCTTAATCCAGCTGTAAGAGAAACTAGTGGCAGTACCCCCCTCAGAGAAAACAAATCTTCTCTTTAGTTAGTTCCTTTTAATGTTATTTGTCCTTGTTAATAAATTAGTTCAGAGCGTAAAGAGAGCTTGAAAAATCACACTCACCTACCAGTGGCCACTTCTCCTCTGAAGTTTCTGTTTGCAGAGTTTCCTTGCTGGAGACGTTACTCTCTCAATTATCACAAATATGTTTTCTGTTAAACTGCTCATGGTTCCAATTAACTTTTGTCATCTGTGTCTGTTCGCCTGCCCAGCAGCCTGCTGGGGATTAACGGCTCTTACCTATATTTCCCTGCCCTCTAGCAAGAGAGTAAACTATGTATTGAGCTGCATTTTTTTAATTCAAAAATCAACAGCGGCTGAGAGCGTGCGTTTTCGGCAGCAGGAGCAGCCCTGTGAATCCAGCCCTGTAAATCATGAGCTGCTGCAACCACACAGAGACTGTTTTACTTCACTTTCAGCTGCTCAGTGAAGATACGGCTCTGTTAACCTCCCTCCTCTGATCCAAACCAGATCTACTACAGATTTAAAGCACATACATCTTCCTGACTTAGTGTAGAATCAGGTTTCTAAGAGTATGAGAGACTCCTTAATAATAAACTCAGTCATTTCACATGGTTATGGACAAAGTAGGATAGCAGGGACTAATGATCCTTTAAAAATTATTACTGCAGTTAGATTTCCCAGACTTTGTTATTATTAACCAATAACTGTTGTACTGGCTGGTCTTGCTGGTTCTTTTCCCATGGCAAACTACCCACTTGGAGATGGAAGGAAGCAAGAGCCGGATTACAGACACAGAAAGGAATCGTACTTCTTTTAAACTCGTGCCAGTCTCCTGTTTTACTCCAGTACAGAAAGAAAATCAAGCTACCAAATGTCCCAAACAGCAATATCACCTGCTCCTCTACTTCCTCTGCTCAAGGCTGCTAAAATCAACCTGATGGGTTAAGGAGAATTAAGTAGTGACCATGAAGAGTCATGGTGACTCCCTGTGTGGGGGAAGTGGAGACTCAGCACCACAGCACTCTGCCCACAGACAGGAGAGATCAAGGAAGGTTATAACTACTTCAGAAGCTGTTGGAAATGTTACTCACTCTGCCTCCCAGTGCTATGCACCATTGCTTTTTCCATCATGCCTCTTACCATACACTGATGCTTTATTATTATTTTTATTTCCTGATCCTCCTACCCATCAAAATCTACTTCCCATTGCAGCACTGCACCATTCTCCTTTTGAAACACCCAGAAGGAAACCCATGGGCTGAGGGACATGTCCAAGGTAAGAGCTACCCAGGCCCGGGACCTCACTGCAAACCTGGCCCCATCTCCAACACTGAGCGAGCTCTCCACACACTGCAGATCACCTGTGGGAGCAGAAACCAGAGGCAACCCACATCAAAACAGGCTTCCTACCAGCTCTACAATGTTTTCCTGGAAGTGAATTGGAACGTGTTGGTTCATTTGGGACCTTAAATTCATCCGGATAGCCCAGGTGATTGCTCCAGTCCATGGACTTTGGGGAAAAACCTCAGCTTGGATCAAGAGAAATGTGGGTTGTCTCTTTTCTAAATCCAAAAGCATGTATCAAAATTTATTTCCAAACACAATCCAGAACTTTTAAATTTCTCCTTTCTTTTAATGTTTCCAGGATTTATTTCTTTTTACTTTTAAATTCTGTTTGTTTTGGTCTCTCATCAAAACACACTTTTTTCAGTTTGCTTGTTTTTAAACACAGTGTTTGCTTTGTCCCCACCTCCCCCACATACACCCTCCTGTCTGCGACTTCTCTGTGCTTCTGCTGCCAGTGGCGTGGGATGGGTACAATGTTGCTCCATTTACAAAGTTGCTCCTCATTTACAGACATGTCAGAGAAATCAGAATTCCTGAACTGAATATACAGGGGCATTATCATAATTTTCAGAGTCTCTACCTAACATTTTCCAGGAAGTAAAAAGTTGGGTGCTACATATCTGATATCAATGAAAAATATTTAGAAATTCTTAAATATACATGTCAAGCAGCTGTGCTTTGGCAAAGGAAAAGAAGATGTTTTCTTACACAAGTACAGTGGATTCATACTCAGGTCAAATACAGTGAAACTGGAAATTCAAAGTCCTCAAGATTTTGTTACATTGGACCATGTGAGGTTAATGCAAGAAATAAAAGGTTCATTGTGAAAACATATGCATGAAAAATGGCCTCAGCTTAAGAAAACTTTGGTCTTTTTAAGATTCTCCATTTCTTTCTTACAAGTAAGTCTGCTGGCTCTTTTAGTCCTCAGACCAATCTTGGTAAACGAAAGGGGTTCTGCTGCCAGAACAGAGATTCAAATGCTGGCTTTTCTAATGAAGCAGCAACATCAATAGGTGGGTAACACATCAGCATGCAAAGGGGAAAGTTTTATTCAGAGCAGCATAGGCCCTTCTTTCATGAAAAGGAGAGCAGGTTTCATGCATTCGATTAATAAGCTTATTATTTCCCATGTGTTCCTTTGTGAGGGAGATATTTTCTTTCTTCAGCAACCTGCATTAACGAAAACTGACTATAAAAGAAATGTTTTCAAACCCAAGCTACAGCCTACAATAAATAATGATCGCTTTCCTCTTTTCAAAGTCAAATCTTGGCCTGAAATCTATTTTGTTCCTAACATTCCTGTTAAAAAAGATGTTGGTGGTCTAGTTCCAATGCCAATACGCACTGTAGCATGGGTAAATCTGATTTCAGCTGCTCCTGCACAGCCTTTACTGCATCTGCAAATCTACCCATTTGTGAAGGGAAAGAAAAAAATAAAATAAAAGAGTCTGAAGGCTTATGATTTCATTCTTCCACTGAAGTCTTTGAGAGCTTATGTTGTAATGAGGTCAGGAGAAAATATATGCAACTCCTCATCGTTTGTCATGCTCACTCTAAGCAAGTGCACTTTGATTTGCTATAACTTAAAACTTTCAAAAACAATCATTAGAAGCATGAAAGGCAACACAAAGGATGTTCTCATAGTCTCTTCTCCTTAGGAGGGTCAAGAACTTAACAGCATTTTAATTCATTTTAGAATGAACAAGCTGTCATTTTCTATTTTGCAGCTATGGGAAAAATAAGTAGTTCTCAGGAAGAGAAATATCTTTTAGTCCAAGCCCATAGATTAGATAACTGAGTTAAAAGCAAATCCACATCAAATTCTAATTTAGGAAGTAAAAGCAGATCTGCTCTATGACATTATAGTGTCAAAACTGCAGGAACCACTGCAGCAGTTTCATCATTTCCCAGCTAGAGGAATAGCTGGTGAGACTTGACCCTTCCCATTCACCCACCAGAAGACTCTCCTTCAAAGTCCTACAAATAATAGTCCTACAGAGAAAAGCTTTTAAGCTGAGCTATACTCTTCTTCACCAATGATTTATCACCCTCAGCAAACCCCTGTAGTACGGAAATGAATTTCTGCCAGGAGTCAACTATAAAAATCACAATCTTTCCATAATCCAAACCACAAGCAGGTAGAGCAGAACGTTCCCAACAAGAGCAACCTGGCACACAGCCCTGTCTCACAACAAGCTCAACTCTTTTGGCCCACAGAAGTTTCTGTTTCAATTGTAATGCTGTTGACTGGAGAGAACTACAGCTTAGTGGAAGGGACCAGCTAGTTTCCTGGCTTGGTGTAGGAAAGAGGCATGGCCTCCATCTACAAGGGGACTGAGCTTTGTCTTGTCTCTTCTACTCTGGACCCCAAGAAAAAGTAAGATAGAAGTTATCTTAAAGCAGAGATTGACAGACAGGGAAATTCTGCATAGACTGAGAAAAACCCAGATAGGAAACATTTTGCTCTGCTGAGGACAAAAACTTCACCAAGCTGAGCAGAATTGGTTCCTTCAACTTCTGTACCCTGGTTGTCCCTTTAGGGGTGATCTAATTTATCGTAACACAAGAAAAAAATTACCTTTACTCCTTGATAGTTTTCTTTCCTTCCATCATATCTACTTCTTCAAGCTCAGTCCTGTGAACTCTGAAGCTTCAATAGCAGGTCCGTGTAATCACAGGAACATGTGGTCCCTCAGAAATCCTTCACTGAAGCCAGTGGATGTCAGTAACTAAACTTTCACACTTCTGTAAGTCCTCTTGGTTCACACAGAGCTCCAGAATACAAAACAACAGCTCTGCTGTTTACTGATTTCCATCGCCAAGACTCAGCGTTTTTGTTGAGGTGAAGGGAAATAAAAGTGGAGCACAGGCCACCCCTTCCTCATTGTCTTGACATAACTGACTAAGACACTTGAATTCCTTGTTGTTTTTGTTTAGTTACTGTAAAATTCAAAATGCTGTCCACATGACTGCCTAAGAAAGAGGCTGGAGGGACCTC